ACCCCTTAATGTGTTGGGCTTCATAACCAAGTGCTTCTCCCTTTTCTGTATAAGTCCGTGAAGAGCAGGTCAAATCACTGCCCTGTAGCTGGCTTTGTGCCTGGAACTGGAGGTAGAGGACCAGGGTAAGAGGCTGTCTGCATAAAAACAATGAAGGGGCAGCCCGTCTGACTCTTGCAGGCAGGTTGGGCAATGCTTCTCCTCGTGTCAGTAGGACAGTGGCAGCCCTTCCCAAGTACACAGAAATATCTAGAAAAGGATGGAATCCAGATATGAAAGTCTGCTTTCCTGATAGGAAAGGAAATGCCCATGTCTGTACTCTTCTAGTTAGGGTGTTAGAAACAAGTTTTTGGGACAATTAGAGTAAAGTGATTATTTCTTAAAGCATGAGATTTATTTTAAAAGCTCCTGGAGAGTGCTGTGTGAGTGTATAAACTCTGAAAACAACCTAATCTGACACTGTGGATTTATCTTGTTGACTATTTCCTTTTGGGTGTGGAAGACACAAATGTCATTTTTGGAGTCTTAGAGAAAGAAGCTACTACAAGGATCCTGTCCTTGTTTATTTAGATGTTGAATGGGGCATGTCATGGAGCTGTCAGAATTGTTAGAATTTGTGACCCACCTACCTGGGGCTGGTGGGGGCTGGTGTGTGATGAAAGTGATGCATCAGTCAGTTCTTAACATCTGTGAGCGGCTCTCATTCTTTCTGGGGAATTGTGTGTGTGTGTGTATGCACGTACACATGAGTGCATGGGGGGTGTTCTGTTTAAAGCAGATGGAACACCAGCTGGGGCTTCAGTGGGAAACTAAACAAATTTTCCCTTCCATCTGCTTGTCTTAGCAGTTGGCTTGTCCAAAGCCCAGTGAAGCAGTAGAAGCAAGGCCATTCTCCTGCAGTTGGCTGGCATCGTCAGGGTACGTGGAGGAGCACTGACTGCTGGTGGCAATGACTGGGGTGGGAACAATTTGGGTGGAAGTGAGAGCAAGCTCAAGAGTCAAGGCAGGCTGAGGCTGGCTTCCTTTCATGCTACTTGCAGGCTCTGGGGTGCTGGGCAAGCTGGTTCACCTGCACAAGCAGGTGATGTCTGCCTCCCAGGGCCAGTAGGAAGATTACATGAGGTCATGCAAGGAAAGTGCTTGTCTTTTTGCTTGGCTTGATGAAGAACTCCAAATTCTGAGTCCCTGGGCAACTGGAGTGATGTTTGAATGGGTCTGCCTTTTCCTGTTCTTGTCTTCATATAATCCTTTCCCACAATACAACTGGAATGCCATGTAGAGTTTATCATGCCATTTCCAGAGGTTCCCCCCACCCCATTGCTCTGACTATCTCTTCTATCCCTACACACCTGTGTTGTGGCCACACAAGAATGATCTTTTCCTCACACAGGTCCAGTGCAGTCCAGTCAACCTAGGCTCTTGCTGTTGCCATTCCTGCCTGATGAGCTCTGCCTTGAGCTTTGAGGGGCTGCTTCCTTTCTGAGAGAGGCTCCAAGTTGAGCGGAACTTCTCTTTGCCACCGCTTCTCATGCCACCCTGTTTTATTTTCATCACTACCTCAAGATCCTGTTTATCCATTTCCCTCATATCTGATGCATGTCTGATTTTCTTCTAATGTGGTAGGTGCCTAATAAATATTGATTGAATAAATAAAAGAGAAAATGTACCTTCTCCTGTTCATTGTATTGCTGTCTTCTCCTTTCTTCAAAGTCTAGTTCAAGTCTAAGCTCTCTTGCGAGGCCATTTCTGACCCCTGTGTCTTTTAAGCATCTCCTTCTCCTATAAGCCTAGAAGACACTTGGGCTGTGTCTCCCCATTTCCCTTTTGGCCCATGTCTCAAACTATACTTGACCATACTTCTCCACTATTTCCACAGTTCTGGAACACAGAGAAAGAAAAGGCCTCCAGTTTTTCTTTTAAAGAGTGAACATGAAACACGAGGAATATTGGAATGTGAGAAAGAGGGTTGAAGTATTGTATATATAGATTGTCCTTGGCAAGCCCCCACACAAAATTCATTAAGCCTTCATTACATTGTGTAGCATTTGTTTCAAATTTTAGTAAGATGAAAGAAAAGAGCTTTTCATTGCTGGCAAACACCAAAAATAATAATTTCAGAATCTATGCATGTGAACATTATGGTCCCCTAGAAAAGGAAAGCATTTTAGACAACAAAGTGTGTCACAGAAAATGAGGATTGGGAATTCCCAAAGATAATACTGCCATAAGCAGTATCCTTGTCACCCTTCTCAATGGCGAACATGAGGACATCTCCCCGCCCTTTTTTTTAAATCCTGGGCAATTGATTGCAGTAAAACTAACTCCCCTGCTCTCCTTAGTTTAACGTTTGGATATAGGGTTTCAGATAGTGATTCTTGATAGTGGTAAGCAGCATCTGCAGTGGGATAATTGTACAGGAGGTTTTCTCTTACAGTTGTTTGGGAAATGTGTGGTTGAAAGGCTCTCATGACCCTCAAAATATTGTGATAAAACGAAGGCTTGGGCACAGGGCTCTGCAAGAAACACAGATGTCACACACCGTTGTTATTGCGATGCTAGTGTAATCACCTGAGCAGAGAGGGCGGGATAAAGGAGAGCACATGGAGTAGTGATCACATGTCCTAGTTATGCCTGCACTTCATTGATGGGTCATCAGTTTAATCCTCTCTAGAGAAGACATTCATTCATTCTGTGGTCAGTTCTAAATCAGGAAAGGGCAAGATGATGAGGTTACATCAACGAATTTGACAACTATGATCTTTGCCCAGACCTTTTCTAGGGAGAATGTAGGTAATCATTAAGAGGTTTTGATTCAAGATTTATTAATCCAAAACCTTAGAGGTGGTCAGATATGTAGACCTTTTTTGTGTATGTCTCCATCAGGGTTTGAGAATCCTTATATTCTTCCAAAATCTACAAATATTTTATTGTGGCTGTATTGAACAGGTTAATTTAGGAGTGTTTATGTTTTTGTAGTATTCTTTCTTTTTAATACAAATTATTTTGTGCATTTGTTCATCTTTTGATTATATCATAATTTAAAAACATTTCCTTTTATTTTATTAAGCTTATCCCTAGGAATTATATTCCTTTTATATATGATATCTTTTTGAATTACATTTTCTTCATAGCTATTTATGTATGAACATATATTTATTTTTAAACATGCAATTTTTGTGATAGCTCCTTTGTTGATATTGCATAGTATTTGTAATGTTTTAGTTGCCATTCTTCGGTTTTTTAAGTTTACATTTACATCATATGCAAATTGCCCCACCTCTCTGACTTTCACAATGTTCATTTTGTTGATTAAATAAATTATGTAGTAATGTAACAAAACAATCATTTTATATTTTAACATAAATGGAGATAATTACGATTTTAAAAATCATTGAACATGTTACTGATTGTTATTTGTTGTGAGTTTTCTATCACACGCACACACACACACGTAAGAAATCTATATTTATATGTGTGAATGTACTCATTTATAACCTTAAGGAAACAGTCACTGAAGTCCATGTTGAATGGGCATTACATTTTGGCATCAAGATGGTAAAAAACTACCATACCTTTGATGCATGAATTCTTATATGGAATCATCTTTGTCTTCCTTGATGATAAAATCTTAATATTGAATTTTCACAACATGTGTTCAGGGTTCGGGTATATATTCACAAATATCAGTCTGTACTTTTCCTTATGGATCTCCTGCCTTTCAGATTTTGGCATTGGTGTTATGATGACTTTACACATATGATTTTCTTCCTTTTCTGTGTTCCAGGATTGTGAAATAATAGATGTTATTAAATGGATATTATTAAAATTAAGTCATGATTCACAAGGCCATTGTTACCTGGCCTGTTTTCATACTTACTTGCTTATTTATTATTTTATGTGAAAGACAGAGTGGCAGCAAGAGGAAGAGACAGAGAAGAGAAATTTTCCATTCACTGATTCACTCTCCAAATGCCCGTAATGGTCAAGGCTGAGCCAGACTGCAGCCAGAGCCCAGAACTCTGCTGGATTTTCCCAGGGTGGCAGGGGCCCAAGCACCTGAGCTGTCTCCTGCTGCCTTCCAGACACATGAGCAGGAAGCTGGATCCGATACTTGCTACAACTTGAACCAGCACTCCTATATGGGATTCCTGTGTCCCAGGTTGCAACTTAAGCAGATGTCACACAACACCTACCACTTCACATTTAATTTCAACCAACTTCCCTGTTTATTTTCTGGCCATTTCTAATATTTTTTCACTTGTTTGTCTTGAGTTTTCTAGTTATAAAAGGATATTACCCACAAATAGAGATAACTGTCTTCTCTATAATATGACCCTATATCTTGTATTCTTTTAAAATGCTAACAATATTTACTATAATTAGAAAAAAATCCAGCATGATTTCATAAACCAAGAAAAAGAACTACACTATTGTGCTACATTTTATGAACTCTGACAAAAATTCAAATAAGATCAAAATTCTTGCTGAGCATAATTGGAAATAATTCGCTTAACACACCAACCATCTGTCCATCCATCCATCTGTTCATCTTTCTTTCCTTCTTTTAATCCAACAAGTGCATGTTTGCTGTTTGCTTGTTTCATGTTATGAATCCTTGAAGGTACAGTAAGAAAGGGTTACATATTTGAGAGACAGATGACAGGTAAATAGATTTATATCTGTCTATATATGATAGATAACAAAAGACATGCAAAATAAGCAGCTCTAATGGTGAACAAGGAAATGATTACGGGGCTATGCAAGCGCACAAGAAGGGGCAGCTTAACAAGTCATGGATTTGCTGGAAGAATGTAACATCCAAGGAGATTTCCAAAGAACATATATGAGTAAAAAAGCGTATGAGAATGACCACACTTTCAGCAAAAGCATTGTGACATTTACTTGCTTTGAGACTCTGGGGTGAGAGTTTGTCAAATGTTTCAGTTGTTGGTTGTTCTGAAATCCTCATGGTTTTCAAGATTTTCCCTTTGTCTTTGCAGCCCAGGGAGCCAACAGCACTCTGGAAAACCCTGCCCTGGATACCAGTCTGCTGGAGGAGTTCTTGGGCAACGATTTTGATCTGGGGGCTCTGTAAGTAATGAGAAGGTTGTTTTCCATTTGATGTTCTGAAGTGGGATAACTAAATAATAGTTTAATTGAATAATCAAATAAGCCCGGAAGCTTCTATTATATATCTTGAGCAGATTTCACTGGCAAAGCCATTTAGGCCCAGGGTTTCCTTTGTGGGAAGTCTTGCTTGCTCTGCCTCCCTCCTATCATGAGTTCAATGCCTTTAAAATATGTGGGACTCTTCAGGTTGTCTATTATTGGTGGCTGCCCCCTTAGACAATCATGTCTTCCAAGGAGTTTGTCCATTTACCTGAATTGTCAAATTCGCTGGCATAAGCTTTTCATATTTCCTTTTGCTTTTTAACAATTGAAAGATATATAGTTTTACCCAAATTAACTATGTAAAGATTGTCAAAATTAAAAAAAAAGAAATATATATAGTTAAGATGCTTTTGTTATTCTTGTACCAGTAATCTCTGTTTTCCCTTGATCAATTTGGCTGGAGGCTTATCAAACCTTTTCAAAGAATCAGGTTAAATATATTGTTGTTTTGTATTACATTTTGTTGATTTCTGATCTTAATTTCAGATATTAACATAGCTACTTCAGCTTCACTTTTACTTCTTCCCTCAAATTCATTGGAATTAAGTTTTTACTGTGTATGGTTCTACAAATGTTGATGGTCTCTAGCGTTCTATAGCCAACCATGGTTAGGATTCATACAGTCCTCTCACCTGAACATGTCCCTTATGTGAACATGTCTCCTTTATGGTGAACCTGACTCAAATGCTTGCCCATAATCCCCACTAACCACTGACTTGTTCTTACTCCGTACAGTCTTGTTTCTTCCAGAAGATCACATGAATAAAACAGTATAATCTTTTGAGTCTGGCATATTTCATTTGGCAGAATGTCTTAGGTCAATAGTTCATACCTTTTTGTTGCTGAGAAAGACTCTTTTGAGTTGTTATAACACAATTTATCTGTTTACCTACTTGACAATATTTAGACATTTTCATTTGTGGGTATTATGAATAATGTCTTCATAAATATCCATGTATAGATTTTTTGTGTAATGAATAGTTTAACTTCTCTGGGATAAATACTTAAGATCTGGACCTCTGGATCATGTTGTAACTTCAACTGCAGAAATTATCAAATTTTCTAGAATGATTACATCATTTTATATTACCACAGATAAAGATTAAATTGCTTTTCTCTATCATAAATTTCAAAATTTTATTATTATAGCCATTCTAACAGGTTTATAGTGGTGTTACATGACATTTTAATTTGCATTTTTCTAATGATGAATGAATTTGGGCATCATTTCATGTGCTTCTTTGCCATTCATACATATAATCATTTGCCACTTTAAAAATATTAGAATTATTTTCTTATCACTTGGTTTGAAAAATGCTTAAGTATTTTGGATGTAAGGGCTTTGTCATATGTATGATTAATCGATATTTCTCCCAGTTCCTAACTTATGTTTCCATTCTCTTCTCAGTATGTTTCTCAAAGTAAAAGTTTTAGTTTTGATGATGTGGAACTTGTAGATTTTATGTAGGATTTTATCTTATGTGCTTTGTAGTAAAAGCACAAACTTTGTATAATACAAGTCCACAGAAATTTTCACCTTTTTCTTTTTCTGAAAGTCTTAGGGCTTTACATTTTACTTTTAGATTTAGGATACATTTTGAATTAATTTTTATATGAGGTTTGAGATATAGGTCAAAATCATTTTTTTTAAAAGAATGTCTAATTATTCTAGAATGATTATGTGGATAGCCTTTCTGCAGTGAATTGCCTTTATACTGCTGTAAAAAAAGGAGCTGACAAGATTTATTTGAGTCTGTTTCTAGAATCTTACTGTTCCATTCATCTATGTGCCTTTCATTTTGTCAATACTATACTGTCTTGATTATTGTACTTTTTCTTAAAGTAACACAGTGTAAGTTCTCCAAGTTTTTTTTCTTTTTCAAAATTATTTGGCTATTCTGGCTCCTTTGAATTCCTACACAAATATGAGAATCAACTTGTTGACCTCTAGGCAATCCTGCTGAAATTTGCTCAGCATTGTATTATGCCTGGAAATCATTTGGGGAAGAATTGTCATTGATTACTTATTTAATCTCTGAAAACTGTAGTGATATTCTGTTTTTTGTTCTTTATATTGATGATTTGTTTCTGATTTTCCTCTCGCTGTCTCTTTTTTATTAGCCTATTTAGATATTTATCAACTTTACTCTTCTTTTCAGTTGGTACATGGCTCTTTTTGCTTGCAGTCACTTGTGCCACTCCCTCCAGTGAGTTCCAGGTCTGGGTTCTTATGTTAGATTTCTACCGTGGTCTCCACAGCCCCAACTCCTGGCTCACCAGTCTCCACCTCCTGTGATACCATGCTGAGGCTGCACCATTGTTTGTGTAACCTTTCTCCCACTTCCGGTTGGAGCAGGTCCCTGGATTAGGGAGACACCAGGTATCCTATATAGTTAGATTGTTGTTGGTGCTGATCTTTCTTTCCAAAACCTGTTGGCCATTAGGTCTGAAGGCCACACAGACCTATTTTGACCCATACGATGCCATAATCGGTATTATTTTCCTATGGGAGCAGTGCAATCCACTTAACTTAGTGAGTTCTCGCGAGCTCAGCATATGCACAGTTCACTGTTGTCCCCTGCAGTGCTAAAACTTGCCACAGTACACAAAATGTACTTCTACTAGAGTTCTTGATTTGCTGGCTGTCAGGTCTGAGGGCTACCCAGACTTGTCTTGGGTGGTACCTGTAGAATGGCATGTTGTTGCAGTTCACTGAGTCAGAAATGAATTCATTCCCAGCTCAGTGTGTGCACAGTACTGTCCGTAGCCCTTGCTTCCTTAAACAAAATGGCGCCCAATTTGGCTCTAGGGGGCTGACTGGGCTGTGAAATCCACCCTGTTCTTGCATTGCCTGTCTGGGATCTGCTGCTCTGTCTCTACTCCTGGTCAAATCAAACAGCCCAGTAGGAGAGGCAATTCTTTGTCTGGGTTCACCTCCCAAGCTCTCAGTGAAAGTCTCTTCCCACCTGGTTGCTGGTGGAGTTCTAGCTGTTGGTGGAGATCAGATCATCGCTCATTAAATGCTGCTGGGGTATCAGTCAAGGTATCACCACATGCTGCTTTCCTGTGTCTTTCGGTCTCTGGGTACCCTCTGCTGTTGTTCTGTCTTCTCCTATTTCCTGGAATGTGCCCTCTCTGCTTCATGCCAGCTAATATTTCACCGTCTGTTTAAACATGTCCTAATCCTATTCCACCATCTTAATTCTTGTCATTTCTGGGAAATTTTTGCTAATTATTTCTTCACATTTGTTTTTTTCTGTATCAGTGTCATTCTTTTTCCCAGTCTCCAACAATAAGATGTTAGGCCTTTTGATAGGTACACAGGTTCCTGAGGCTTGCAGCTCAATCAGGGTTTTTGTTTTTATTTTTTCCCTAGTCTTACTTATCTTTGTTGTTCAGACTGTATACTTTCTATTGATCTGTCTTCAAGTTCACAAACCCTCCTCTGTCATTATCACCTCAATGCTTTGGTTGATCCCACTTTAGCATAGCCTGAACCTTAGTGGTGGTAGTGAAGCTGACTTGTGGATCTTTTATGTATGTGGTTCTTCCTGCTGTTTGACCATAGAGACATCTTTGCCAACAGAATAGTGGAAATTATGCAAGTCATACACAGAGGGAGGGAAGGAGAGGGACTGGCAGAGAGTAAGAGAGAAGAATAGAGAGAGGAAAAGCGATGCTGAGTGTCTGGGTCCATGTTTGAAGCTCCAGGCACTGCTTGCATGGGCTGAACCCAGACACTAGTCGCTGTGTCTGCCCATCACAGGCTTCTAATGCCATCCAAGCAGCTGGCACGAATTATCAACAGCAGCTATATTCTCATTTTCTGCTGAAAGTTTCCTTGCCCTCTCCCCACCCCCAGTGTCTTTCTGAGAGAAGCACAGCTGATTCCCCCAGAGCTGTTTAGTCATCTGAGCCACTTTAGGATTAGCAGAAAGACCTGGAGCTGCTTAGAGGGACAACAGTCTTAGTCCCAGGGCTGTCTTCTCACTTGGGAGGTCTGACAACTGCCACACATTCTTAAGACTCCAGGATAATAGGAACTCTTCTGGCAGGTCCAAAGATGTCCGCCCACAGACATCCCCGCCCCAAAAGAGATTTAGGGTTGGTTTGTCTAGTGAGAGAGGGGTTGGGAGCTGGATTATAGGTGGCATAGAGAAGGAATATTATGGAGCATTTGCTAAGCATTGGGCATTGCTCTTTGGGGTTTACATATTCAGTTATTTAATTCCATATAAACGAACTGATGCAATACAGTTCATTTGCTAAGGCTCTACCAAATGTAGAATTATCTCTATCTTGCAGACAAGGAGACTGCGATGCAGCAAGATTATGTAACTATCCACAGGTCACTAAGTGGCAGGGCTGGGATTAACATCTACTGGATCTAAGTCATGTTGCCCCTTTTTTCTCCATGTTATTTTAGGGAATGTGGTGGAGTAATGTGAACCTCAGGCAGGTATGTTAAAAGTACCTAGAATTAAGTAGCCAAGGGTGTGGCTCCGAAAAGCTCTGAACCTTAATTCTGTGGAGACTGTCAGAGTGCAGGTTCGCTAAAAAACATCCCACCATCAGATAGCCTGTTATTACTGATAAAAACATGCTAAGGTGTATGCAGTTAACTTGAGCTGCAATAAAAGTCTCAGTGACAATAAGCAGATACAGGTCCAGTCCATGACCATAGGGATATGGAGCTGGCACAGTGATTGTCACACCTGAATGAACTGCTCAGCTACTCCAAGCATTGAATCTAAGTACCAGACTCTTTGTGCAAGTTAATTGTGTCTGTCCCATTAGTCTGGGGAGACATTTTTGGTGGGTGGGTGGCTGGGATAGCAGGACTGAGATTCAGATCTGCGTTTACTAAAATCCTGAGCAACTGCTCTACCAACTAGCCTGTAAATTATGCTTGTATAAAC